GAGAGAGAGAGAGAGAGAGAGAGCGAGCAAATAAGGAAACTAAGAAAATGAATCTAAGAGCAACTAGAGACAAGGAAGTAATACACCTAATAATCAAAAATCACTAAGAAGAACTGAACTAAGGTAAAACAGAAACAATCAAAGAAAAAGACTAAAGAACACAGAATAACAATGAAACTAGAATCAATAGATCAAACCCCAAAACAGCTTAAAACAATCCAGGATCTGACAGTTAATAGTTACAGTATTTCAGCATATGTGTGTGTGTGTGTGTGTGTGTGTGTGTGTCCGCAACTTACTATCTAATTTTGCTAGGGGTTTTTTATGCCCAACCAGGGGCTTGGTTTGTAAATCAGCCTGTGGCTAGAAAACAAGTATTGCTTGTTTTTATCATGTAACCTGAGTTACTGCGCTCTACTTGAATAAATAAACTTGAACTGAATTGAATTCTTATGGCTTTCTTTTGCCACTATTCCAGTGAACCTCGGGTCTTCGTTGGCTTTAGGCAACATAACCACATGCAAGTAGCTAAAATCAATGAAAACCCAAATTCACTTTACGACTGCCGAACTTAATAGTTCAAACACCAAATTTCCTTTATATGGACAGTGGGATCCATGTTAGCAGAAGATTACCTTGATGCTGTTCATTATTTGTCCTTTTGGGGATACAGTCAATTAATGCTTAAGGATTGATCACTTTGCAAATACCAGCCAATAGCATCTCAAATACCATTATACCTAGATATTTCTGAAGCTTGTATTTTCTTTTGAATATTTTAGGTATGATTTATGAAGAAAATGTATGGATAGTCCTCTGCAAATTCTCCACCAATGATTTTGAATTGCGTCACACACAGAAAAATCTCAAGAAAGGTCAGAAATAGTTGGGGGTCCTCTGTACAAAAAGGTCACATTTGTGAATTTCAAGACTAATATTAGTCAACATACGATAATCTCCAACTGGACCTGTAGATCTCTGTACCAGGATTTCTTGCCTGCTTCTCTGACCAACATTGTTTTTGCTCGTCTCGACGGGTTTCGTGGCCAAATGTTCCCAAACTGCTCATTAACAAAAGCCAGGAAAGCGGTCTGCAGCAATAATGTTACTGACCAGATGTAATTTGTTTAGTTTCGGAGGTGACTGCTTTACGACTCGCATCTTCTGTTGTATTTTCTTGCATGACAAAATTCCAACCTTCCCCGGTAAATGTGTTTCGCATTTATCGCGTTACGCATAGTTCGCTGGTTATTTCGCCTAATGTGCTCTAAGGGACATTCCTCTGCTTCGTATGGCCTATAACGACTGTGTGTATTGAGAAATATTTAATTCTTGAGAGACGAGTCCTTTATGCTTCAGTTGTAAATAAAATTAGTATTTTTTGGCAGAGCACTGTGGTCCGAGTTCACTCTGGGATTTCAGTTTGTCGGGTTTTTAGCTCTGTTGCCATAACGTCTCTCGGTTAAATTGTGAACTTCTCTAAATGAGTAGCCAAGCCACCTGTGAAAAATGTTAGCGCTCTAAATGGACATGGGAGATTTCCAGACTGACATGTGTCCTAAGGAAATTTCATATGTGATTTAAAGGGGATTGCGGCCGGGTGCGGGGGGCTGAACCAAAGTGGAGGGAGTTACGTCTGATCTTCCCAGGGAAAGCGTGTGACACAATGTAATACATCTGCTACTGTGCATCTATAAGCTGTCTGGTTAATACGGATTTTTTCCCTCTTTTTGATTATACAGTATGGATCTTGGGTTAAATTAGCCATAGGTTGCATTAAAGCGTTTTCCCTTGCTCCCGAAACCAGACAGATTTAGCAAAGAGCGTATTACACACACAAAAAAAAAAAAGAATAAGTGTGCTTCTAATAAGAGAATGATTGATCGGGTGTCGCACGATAAAAGACAAGTTCCACACCCATGTGCTTGTCGGGGCATTACACAATAGCTGAGATGGATGAGCCACCAAAGGCAGGCGCTGGTTCCCCCAGAGTACGTCACCGTTAACGATGCCATCACGCTGTCAGGGCCCAGTCAACCGTGTCCAATCCTCTGGCCTGGAGGCAGAAACTGTGTCATGTAGTGCAACATAATGGGTTTCCCAAATGCTATTTCATTTCAAGTACAGCATGGAAAACAAGTACTGAACACGTCAACGCTTTCTCGTGTTGGACTTATTGATACATACAAAAAGTTGACATGAAATAGTTCCTGAAATGAAGTTATATTTGTGTGGAAATAGCACAGGGAGAAGAAAAGTATCAATCAAATCGCTGTAACAGTTTAGCAGTTTTCCTGTTTGGTGAATCTAGACGTGATCTTGACCCATTATGCCACACAATCCGTTGCACCCTGAAGGTTCTGGGAGTCTCTATACAATCACTCCGATCTTCAGATGTTCCCTTTGATTTTCAGCCTGACTTAAGCCAGGTGACTGACTGGGCTGTTCCAGCAGCTTTATTTTCTTCTTTTGAAACCAGAAAGGATTTTACTTATTGGGAATCATTGACTTGTTGAAATGTCTGTCCTTTGTTTGAAATCCTTCTTAAGAAGCTCTTGGTACTTTCCTCCATTTATTTTTCTATCACCACCTGGAAAACAGCCCCACACTTCCCTGCCTTGTCAGTATGATATATGTACATATATATGGTTTTTGGGAAGGGGCTCAGAGGGTGGATTGTGGTCTTGCACAATGCCCTTTTAAAACATACATTAATTAAACATTGGTCTCATCTAAACATAGTATTCTTCTCAGTCAGTCATTGACTTGTCCAAATGCTCCTCAAAGAAAAAAAAAAACTAAAATCAACTTTTGCTTTTTTCTTCTGAAGAGGAGACTCTTAGTGATGTTTGAAACATCTCTCTCTCTGAGACTATGCTTTGGCTCACGGACAGATCTAGATATTCTTTTAATTCCTGTTGGACATCCCGTGAGGAGCGGCTGATGGTAGATTGTTTGTGGTAACATGATGTCCTACATCATGTCCCCAATAGTCTTCACGGGAACATTCAGAAGTTTAGAAATAGCTACACCAAGTAGCCAGAAGTTTTGACTCACCCAACCAAATCAATGAATTTAGGTGGTCGAGCCATAAATATGATCTTGTGTATATAAAATCAAGCTCCTAGGCAAACAGACTTCTTCTACAAACATCTGTGAAGGAATAGCTCACTATCAGGAGCCACTGAAAAGACGCTACCTGCGCAAGTCAAGTTGTGAAATTTCCTCACTACTAACGAGTCTACAAACAAAAGAGGGAAGGGAATTGGGAATAACAGGAAAGAGGTTAAGCCTTGTAAAATCCCGCACTGGGGTCAGCGGGTCCAACATGGCAGGCGCATGGTGTGGAGAGGTCGCCAATAGGAGTTGGTGACCTCTCCATGTCAATCGTTGAGTCAGAACCCCAAACCTCTGACTCAGCAACTGTGAAGGAGCTCAGGAGGCAGATTGATTGGACAATCTGTTTCTTGAGATTGTTTTCTGGTGAGACAAATCATGCCTCTCTGCTTGGCCATCCAATGGATGAGTCTGGGTTTGGCAGTTGCCAGGGAAACACTGCTTCCATGTCTGCCTTGTATCGAGTTTAAACTCTGGTGCAGACGGGATTATGGTGTGAGGCTGGTTTTCATGAGTTGAGATTGGGCCCTTGGTCCTAGTAAAAGGAACTCATAATGTTTATATCAACATGTCTTGAGCAATTGTATGACTCTTAATCCATGGGAACTGTTAAGGGATGGTTTCTATAGTTCCAACATGACAATGCACGGTGCCTTAAGTTGTATAAACGAGGTTAGCGTACAGGACCTTGACTGATGTGAGCCTGATAGAATCCTTTTGGGGTGGATTTGAAGCAGAGATTGGCAACCAGTGGTCTCACCCAATATCAGCGCTTGACTCCAGAGAAGACTCATGAAATATTCCCATAATCTCACTCCTAAACCCTGTAGAGAGGTATTGTCAGGGGTGGTCCAAACCCAAAATAAATATTCAGTAAAGTTCATATGGCAAGAGACTGAAACCTCTTGCCAATATAGTGTATGTAACTGATGATGTTCATGGGCCCTGCACAAAAAGTCTGCAAAAGTCTTGAGGTGGTTCTGGTAATGAGAAACTGGTAATGAGAAACCTTTTTATAGGTCATCACTTACGGCCAAATCATCTGGCATTTATTATCACTGATAGGAACAAGGGTAGCATTCTATATACTGGTAAATCTCAATTACTTCCTTGACTTTAGTTGGGTTTCCATAACTTTGCCAATATTCACCTAACATTGAAAAAACACATTGTCGAAATTGCAGTGTTTCCAATAAATACAAAATGCCATTAAAATCACACATGATGAAACACATGCTGTGCCATCATCCTCCAACTACTTCCTGTCGTCGTCTTCTTTGTGATTTGCGCCAAGAGCAGCCATCCGGTTGTTGATCATGTGCCTCGGGGGATGGGGGGAGGGGGGGAATAGTGTTTCCATTGCAGTTTTGCGAAATAAATTTTGATAAATTTCCAAAGAACTACATCATCCTTGCGCCAAATCTTTTTGTCAAAAAATTTGAGGTTTTTCGAAACTGCCGTGTTTCCAGTGAGTGAATTTACTTTTTAAATCTCAAATTGTGCAGATATATAGTCAATGGAAACACAGCTTCTGTTTGCCTTGTGTTTTTAATGTGTTCGATACTTATTTCCCATGTCTGTCCATGTCATTTATGGATTAATTTATAAAAATTTCTTACCTCAGATTACCTCAGCTGCCCTTTAGGAATATATTTAATTGACATATAATACACACACACACATATATATTATATATATATATATATATATATATATATATATATATATATATATAGATATAGATATAGATATATATATTAATGTTCAGTGTTGTTTTCCTTCACTCTAACTGCAGTCAGAAGTTAGACAAGAACACGACAGCTTCAGAGTTTGAGCCACATATATTATAGCCACGGACAGTAATGAAAGGGCTTTTCATACAGTCACATGAAATGCAGTTTTAATAAAACACAATGTACACATATGCAGTCCTATGACCATACATTAGCTGGAGCCTAATTATTAAACCTAGAATACATCAAAGCATAGTTTCATTTTTTTCTCCTTTTATAAAGCATCAAAATCAGTAGATGAGGTCAAACGAACAGCCTACAACACTTTGCATGACAGAGATATGCACTGATATAAGGAGAGGATATCTCAGAAAAACACCGACAGCGTGAGGCCAAATTTCTCACTGAACAAAAAAAATTAGAAAAAAAAAGTACAAAACTGAATTAATAAATAAATCAAATATATACCATATGAATGAAATTGCTATGAGGTGGCTAAGTTTATTATGTTTTTCATTATTTTAATCTGTAGCTTGTATTACAACCATTTTTTTATTATTATTATTTCTAAAACATTTAGAATGGTGACTGACTCAATACTGAAAATACAGTAATAGGCTTTTATAATTAGATCAACTATGTACAAGTCTGTTGCCATGCTAGTTGAACAACTAAATTTTCTTCTTTTCTTTAATTAACTGACACTATACAGATACAGCATTAAGCGGTCTGAACGTAAACAGTTTGTGCTGAGAATAAAATATTTCGCAACTATGCATGGGATTTTTTTCTTCTTCTTCTTAATATTACTCTGGAAAATATACATAACATAAAAGGCCACACATGGGAAAACTCTGTTTCCATTTAGAGGGAAGGAAGGAGAGGGGTAGCTTTGACATAAATATATGAACAAAAAAACAAACAAAAAAAACAACCAGTCTCTCTTGTTTCAAGATGCCATTTTTTCTTTTTCTTCTTCTTCTTCTTCAGTCCATTAGCATCATTTGCTTCAATCGAACCTTCTCTGCTTCTTCGTCCTGGATGGATTTTTGTCACATCCGTTCCCTCTGGTGCAGTTCAGCTCGCCAACTCCCCTGACTCCTTCCTCCTCTTTACCTGCCGCCCCTCTGGCTCTCCCGCCCTCCAAGAGTTCTCCTCCGTCTTCCATCGCATCCCCCCGTACGGTCTGCGTTGTTCGTTAATGACGGGAATTAAGTTCAGTTCTGTCAACTGTGAAGGTCCACAAGGCGAAAAAAAAAAAAAGGGGGGGAATGGCGCTGGGAGAAAAGTAGAGTCACCTTAGCATCGCAGCATCACGGGAGGGGCGTCGGGGTGGGGGGAAGCAGTGGGAGGCAGAGCGTGTACAGGTACTGATATCTCGCTTTGTACGGCACGGGTTTCTTGGGGTGTGGGGTCGTCGGTGGGGTAGGTGTGATGTTTGCGTCCTGGTGGGCGGAGAGAAGGAGGAATGGGAGGCGAGTGGGGAGGAAGGCAGCGGGAGGGGCTGTGGTGGGTGAAAGTTGTCAGTCAGAGTAATGGTGCAGCGACGGCTAGCAGCTTTGCGTTGGTTTCTGTGTTCACTGGGAGGTTTCAGTCCTTACTGGCTGGAGCGCGCAGAGGCCAAGTGGTCGCTGTGCTGGTTCTGGGCCCGAAACCGCAGCCTCTGCTTGTTCTTCTTCTTTGGCTCTTTGGATCGGTGCTTCCCTGAATTACCTGCATAACACACATAAACACACACACACACACACACACACACACACACACACACACACACACACAAGAACAAAAGATTAATTCAATTTTTAATGTGATTCTCCACTGGAACACAGTCTGATTTGTTCGCCTGCAGGATTTATGTGATAGACTAACATGAACTAGTACATTGATTGGTGCTATTTCAATGAGACAGTGCATATTAATACATGTACAATGTTGCTTAGCAAAATGATAATTTTCATCCACAGTCCCATAAAGTAAAGCAAGCAACACAAAATAAAAACACTCATACGATTTCATACATAAAAATAAGAAATACGGTAGAAACAACAACAACAACAAAAAAACTCAGGAAAAAAAACTTTTTTTTTTCAGTTTACAAAACCATGTCTGTCACGAAAATAACTAAAAACACAAAATTCCTCATAGACGCCTGACTATAAAAATTGTTCAACACATTGTTTAATATGTGGAAAATGGTGGACTTTAGCTCATTTTATAATAACATTTTAAAAGAAAATCCAATGCTATCAGTGTATTTAGAAGATTCCTGTTTAGCAAGTAGAGAAGACCGTTGTCTAATTTAAATTCTGTATGAAACGATTGGTTCTGTTGGATCGACTGTTGAACGAAAGCAGCTAGAAATCCTGTTTTCAGTTTATCAAATAAAGTAGAACACAAATGGAAAAATCTGCTCAGGTCAGATGAAATCAAAACTTTAGATTTTGGCTCAGATGCTAGATGCTGCATTCACTCAATTCCCAAAAGCTAAACATGATAGTAGTGGGAATGTGTTACTTCTGCAAGGATGAGAAAGACAGTCAAAATTGTTGGGGAGATGCAGAAAGACAACAGAGAGAGGATTTCAATGAATGGAGGTTTACCTGTTAAAACTTATAGCACAACTGAAATACAATAACTATTAGCAAGGACAGCACAGTGGTACACTGAGCCTGTAGGTTATCTAGTTGCTACGCAATGTACACATTGAGACTGGAACTAGTGGTTAAAATTACAGTTTATGGATACATCATTTGGTGACTGGAATTGGCAGATATTCAGTTTGACATTATACCTGCAACCCACCCAAACTCTATGTTTGTATTTAAGGATGTTGAAGCTTTCTGAAACGACTCCACACAGACTGACTTTGTCTTCAAATGTGAGAAAGAAAAAGTTCCAGTTTTCCTTTTTTTTTTTATTTAAGTTGAATGTTTTGGGTGTGTGTGTGTGTTTTTTTTTTTTTTTTTTTTTTAGTTTTTTGGAAATGGTTAAACATTTAAAATTTTAATATTTATATAG